GCCAGGCTGAAGTCCAGCGCGCTGTCACAGCAGAAGGGCAGAGTGAGCACGAACTGCAGGGTCCGGTCACTGCCAAGTTGAGCACAAAGAAGTTCACCCTCGGACTTCTTCCTCTCTTGTTTGAAGCCGCTGATGAAGAAGAGGACCAGCAGGTTGCCCATCAGACCCGCAGCGCAGACTACAGAATACACCAGGCAGATGAGGAATCTCAGAATCGGGCTCCCGTCAGCTGTCACGTCGATATCCTCCAGGTTGCTGAAGCTGTCCATCTCAGTCAGAGACCTGTTCAAACAAACGCTTTCATTTCCCTCATTCATTGTTTCAGCAGCTCACGGACACTTCAAGATAATCTAACCAGAGAGAAGTCCATAAACAAGCTCAATGAAAACATGTCCAAACGCAGCTGAATCTTAAGAATGCCACATTAGTGACAAGTACGTGAAGCCATCCCGACTCCTCCGTCTGAATCCACCCCACCCCTCCTGTCATTTCCCCTCCTTTCTCCTCCAAGACGCATAATCATCCAACAGCATTGCTCTGACAGGATGAAAGGGATGGTGGGGTTGAGGTGTTCACTGGGTGTGATGCGTCCGTCGTTCTTGTGCGTTACGGAGGCTCCCCCGGACAGTGAAGCTTCCCCGTCACTTTTAATCCAGAAAAACAACATCCAGTTAATAATTTGAGATGTACATGTTAAGTATAGCTTGTGTCACAGCCAGGAAGACACCGGCTGGAGTTGACAAAGCGTGCGTAATTGGTTTTTGTACCATCACAGGAAGGGAAAAGTTAATCAAAGCGACTCTCTGTCGCCACCCAGTGTTCAATTCTAAGCAGAACATGCTTTAAAATAAAGGGAATAACACAAGAGAAATAACAGAATGCATTTTATTACATCTAAACTTTTCTACATAAACAGGTAACATTCAATAAGTAAACAATTTCTTCCAATGCAGGTAATAAATATTTTTTCACTTAGTATATTTGTACAAACTGACAAGGGTCTACTGTACACTGTCTTCTCCTCGCCCTCCTTGAAAAGCTTTTTTATGATTTTTCTCGGATTGGAGCCGTGAAACAGAAACCTGTGAATGTTTTAAGGCAGTGAGTGCAGATGTCGACTGACTTTGAGATTATTTCAGGTGTGTAAGACTCTTTATTGGCCACAGTCCTTTTTTTTTTTTTTTAATAATAGTACAGCTTTCATTTTCTAAAAAATATATAAATTAATTTATTCTCTTGCTCTGAATTGACACACAAAAAGCATACAAACGGACATCAAACACCCACGTTTGGATCTGAACTTTCAGGTTTCCATACAGACATATAATACACATTGTTGACTTTTCCCTTTTATCTAAGGTTGAGACATCATGACAACCAAAGTCTTGAGCTGCTTTGTCGAGGTTGCCTGTGGAGGGGGCACCCCGGTAGTTCACCGGGTGCAGCACATACCATGTCAAGTCCCTACCACAACGGCCCGGGTTCGAGTCTCGAGGCCATTTGCTGCATGTCATCCCCTTTCTCACCCCTTCTTTTCCTGTCTTTCTCTACTGTCCTATCAAAAGCGAAACACGAAAATAAAAAAAGGTTGCCTGTGGAGAGTAACTATTGAACTACTGATAACAGTGGCCTTATTCCATTCACTTTATTCTGTGCAGAAACTGGTTTTTGGCCCAGTTTCTGCACAGAAAACCAGCTAACACATAAGCTGCTGCAAAAATGCTGTAACTACACTACGCACTGGTTCGCACCTGTTTGTGACTGAAATTGGAGGCGGATTGAGATGGGAACAGTCCTGCGCTTCTCCATCACTGCATGCAATCTCACTTTTTCTATCAAAAAAGCCAATATGGTAGAGTGAAAGAAAGAAAACACAGCTCAATAATAATAATAATAATAATAATAATAATAACTTCCCCTTAGAAAACTAACAACTGTGAATTAGAGCTGTGGACACTTATATGAAAGAAGTCGGAGGGGAGGGGGATCTGACTGTTTGGTAATCCCATATAGACCCCCTCCCTCCCACCGGTATGTAGAGCACTTGAACAGAAACACATTCAACACGGTCTGCTCTCTCACTTCCTGTGCGTAATCTGCTGCAACGTGTCATGACAGGCGTGGGGAAGGAAAAAGTCGTTTAAATAAATTAAAAAGTGATCAAATGCTTTCATTAACTGTGACCACCGTATCAAGTATCCAAACACTGGTGATTAATATTCAAGATAACATGATGGAAACTAAAGGATCAACATCTTCATCAGTACAGCAACACGTCTTAATAAAGGTTCAAACACACATGTAATGTATAACGAATACATGAGCCATGATGTGTCATGAGTTTCTGTTGCTCACTATTAATAAATGATCAAGTCACTGTGGGTTTATATGATTACTTCACACTTCATGGCTCATCAGTTACTTTATACATTAATTACTATGGCAACAAATTAGCTGGAATCCGGTTACATACAGTATTACCGCTGTGAAACTCAAGCATCTCTAGGACGTCTACTTATTAACCAGCAGACAGAAAATAACCTTGTTTTCCGCTGTGTAAACCATGTTTCTTTAGCTAACTCGATGGGTTTTTAAGAGGTTTTATTTAGCTTAAGAAGTAGGAGACTTCTCAACTGACAAAAGGTATCAAGAAAATTCAAAACCACCAATTTTAGATGGTTTCTTTGGTCTCCTTTGGACAGGGATAGTGTGAACAGCACAAATCACATGGAATCTGATCAGTCATATCAGAATTCATGTGACTTTTATGTCTAGATCTACATTTATCATGCAGGTCACTTCAGGACTTTGACCTGATATCGGCCACATTTCACAAATAACGGCCAAAAATCAGAGCTGAGCGCTAAAGCTCGCTCTTTGAACGTAGTTTAAGAGTCTACAGCCATGTTAGAGACTGTGAGGCTGTACTTTGAATACAACTTTGAGCTAAATGCTAACATCAGGATGCTAACAGATGTTAAACAGGTACAATCATATTAGTTTAGCATGTCGGCATGCTAACATTTACTAATTATAACTAATTAATATATATACACTCTAGGGACGTGAATGTCTGCACAAAATGTAATGATAATCCATCTAATAGTTGATATTTTAGTTGTTTTATAAGGTTTTAGCCTTATACTTAGTACTGCCCTTTTTCTATATAACTGGATTCCAGCTAATTTGGTGGCATGTAAATGTATAATGTATGAAGTAGCTGTGAGTTAATCAGTAATTGATGACCCATTAATCATAATTTCTTAATAGTGAGCAACAGGAATTCATAATACATCCTGAATAAATTCACACATTAAATAATCATGAGTCATGCATGTATTAAGCAAGCATGTGCTTTGTGCCCTTATTAAAAGTGTTACCCATGTCAGCTCCCGAGAAAATACACACAGGCATTTCCAAGATCAATAACTACACGGTACCTTTTTGAGAAATAACAGAAAGAATAATAAAATGCATATTAAATAAAATCATATCACAACGGCTCCCGAGTGACAGTGACTCTCACACACTCACCCATGGAAATCAAACAATTTGTAAAAATATAATATATAGAAATAAGAATACAAAATAAATAAAATACTGCACAACACAGGAAATACACAAGACTTGTTTCCGGCAGTCGGTTTGAGAGCCGAAGGGTTGGTTCCCATGAGAAGAGCAGGGAATAAAGTTAAAGATGCCAAGAGAGAGCAAGGGTGGGAAGAAGGGATGGGGTCATTTTAGTCTCCCAGTTAGTTGCTGAAGGACAGGACAGGACAGGGGATGTCAGACGATGGGGTTTGCTGTCGGAAGTGATTATCTCATCGTGGTGGGGATAATGAGGCTTTGAAGTGAGCTGCCTGTCTCGGACGTCTGGAAGTGGAACATGAGGGGAGAGACGGATAAGAGGGGATTCTGGGAAAGTTTCAAGGACACACGGGCTGTAGGAGGGGGTGGGCTGACGGGGCAGGAGGGGTACTATGTTATGCATGTGACCAGACTGCAAACAACATCTCGTAATAAGTGAAATGGAAACAAAGACCCAGAAGTGTGTCCACTCTAAAAATTGCACAATACATTCATGAGCAAACTGTTTTCAGCTGAATGGCGACGATGTCGAGGTATTCCGAGACCTCTGCCGCATTTTGACACATCCACATCGTACGCCGACTAGCTCGTAGGGCTTTTAGGTTACAGACACGTCATGTATTTTTAAACAGGCTGGCTTTGTGCCCAGTCTAAGTTGGCCGGTTGACATCTCCCTCTTTCACTGTGGCACTAAACTGTCTGCTCACACTCTTCAATGTAGTTTCCCACAGATAACTCCCAAGATAACGCAAGTCAAGTCTTATAAAGAGATGGGACAGAGGTTTATGTGTGACCATTTCAGACATTCTTTTGAGTTTGGAAAAATTCCACCCTAAACACGCCATGAAGCACGCGCATAAACAGGCACTAGTTTAAACTTAGAGGCGTGTGTCTTTAAAATCCCCAATGCTGCTACAACAGCTTGATTCCTTTTTAACAGTCACAAAAAGATGAAACTGAGAAGACAAGAGACAAAAGCGCACAGTTTGAGTGTCTGAATAACCACCAGCTGAAACCGGAGAAGTGGACACGTGACTGACAACGCTGTGGCACACAGATTCAACTGCACTCTGATTACTGTGATAATTTTCATAGGTACTGTGTTTTTTTTGGCATTGCGCAAAAAATAAAAAACAAAAGGAACTCTTCCAACTCAAAACTCTTAATTGGCAAATATAAATAGTCTACAAATCTCCATTTCTAAATGCTGTATACCGGCAGAGTCTTTGTAAGGAGTTGGAAATTAAGGAGTGAAAATGAAAAACCAGAAATGGCTACTTTCCACCTACACACTCCCCACAGCATTAACCTGAAGGTCAAAGGGAATGCATGTATATATATATATATTTATATTATTAGTATACATAATCATTATATACATATACATAGACATATTATATATATATATATATTCATAACAGTTTAAATATCATACATAACTTAAAAGCATTATAAAATTATTAGTACATGAATAAACTGTAAATTCAGTGTCTGAAAAGTTCTTGTCATTGGATAGAGAAATAATACACCATGAATTAAAAAATGAGCTTGAGCAAGAGATAAAGATAAAAAGAGAGAGCGATAGAATGTCTATAAGAAAGTCTATATTGAAATGAAAATGGAAATTTTAAGCAAGTTAGAGCTAAAAGAGAAGAGAAAAGGATAACCACATGGCAACAGGCATATGTATAAGCTTTTCTGAGAAAAACCCCCGAAACAACCTCCAGTCCTCCACTTAAAAACAGCGATTGAAGCAGCTCACTAGACTGAAAATGTCCCGATTTAACATACAAAAGTAAAAGAGGAAAATATATTTTGTTCTCTGTACACGGTGCCACTCTTTATTTTTGTAAAAAAAAAAAAGAGCCTTCCTCCTTTGTGTTTTTGCTCAGGTAGCGTCTTTGCTGTTTGTGCCGGGTTGGTACCAGTCTAACAGTAACGTGGGTTCATATGCTGGACAGGTTTCTGATCTGAAGTCAGTATACCAACACAATGCCCACAGCTGACCCCTTTTAAGTGATGACTTAGTACTGTTCTCAAGTCAGTCTGGTGAAGGGAACCATCATAATATTAGTGCTCTTCTTGAGGCAGTCTTGTCATTACGACTCCACCAACTTTTTTGTTTGATGACTTGGGCCCAGTCTAGTTTCTGGATCAAAACTTTACCCTGCAGCCAAATAGTTTGTTACTGGATCATAGCTGGACCCAAAGTATAGTTTCGGCTCTTCTTTAGTCAGTCCAACGATATGATGTCAGGTATCCCGCCATATATAGCTGCCACTGCTGCTTCAGCGCTGCTCCGGCTGGCCACCACACCAGGGTGTGTGTGTGAGGAGTGTGAGCCTGAGTGTGAGGACGAGTGCGTGGAGTGAGTGTCACGGAGGCTGCTGGATGAGACCAGGCTGCTGGTGCTGCCCGAGTTGCTCGCCCCGTTGGTCGGCGCGGTCAGCGAAGTGGCCGAGGAGGCTCCCGATTGGTCGAGGAACAGCTGGGAGGAAGAGGAGGAGGAGGTGCTGTAGGGCAGGAAGCGGTTGAGAAGCAGCTCGTGGTCGTCTGAGGCTGAAGCGGCGGCCGCTGCTGCCATCACCATGTTGTAATGCTGAACCGTGGGAGAAACAGGAAGTGTTAGTCTGGTGTGAGTTCACATTTAGAGGCTGCTAAAGTCACCACTGAAATCAGGGCTCAACGTTAATGTTTTTTTTCTCACTTACCCTAACCCTCACTTACAAGTGGGTCAGAAATCTACTTGCCCCTTTACAAACTGTTTTCTTAATTAGCAGCTTTCAAATAACAACAAAGACCGTCTTAGCTGCCATGCAAGCGAAGTGCTGTCGGCTCTTGTTATTGCCCTCCAGCGACATATATTTCAGAAACTTGATGTGCCTTTGAAAACCCCTTTGCGCACATCCTCTAATGCCACCCAACTGAACTCCAGCTTCCAGGATAATTAAAATGTTGCTTGCACTACAGCTCATAAACTTTGTCTTTATCGGCCGCCATTTTCTAGCGAGTGCCCGATCGGTACTCTTCATGTGCCACTCTCAACAGAGATGAGAAGGACGCGAGATGGCTCACTCTTTAGCTACTCCCAGCTTTGCAAAAGGTGTTCCATTCTTGTTTATTATTGCTAGATTTAGAAGAACAAAAAATCATTTTACTTGTCCCGGACAAGTGGGAAGCTCCCATTGTTGAGTCCTGCTAAAAGTGCTCCTGACTGGCTGAGACTGGAGAACTCCTGTAATTAAGCAGCGTGAATGTTTTTAGTTCAAGAGTGGTTCATTAAGCATTTTTCATTAAGCATGCACTAAAAGCAGCTCTTAAGGCTGGGAGAAGTTAGAGGCACTCACTAAAAGTCTGCCTGTAGCTGCTGCAGGTAATGAGCCTGACTGCGCCAGAGTTTTATAAAAAATACAACATTAATGAACTTTTAAAAGCATATTATGATGCTGGGTGAGTTAATAAGGGTCTACTATGCTCAGTAATAAATCAATCATTACTCAATAATGTCTAGTGGTATCCAGCTGTGCAGGTAGTTTTGATTTCTGCCTCCATTCCTTAGTGGCTAAGCTCTGCTTACCGTATTAGAAAAGCAAAAATAAATGTAATTGCTGTTGAATTTAATTTGAAATAACAGAAATCAAACGGCGGAGAATGAAAGACGAGTGTATCAAAAATAAAGAGATGTCTGTGTTTATGTCTGACTGCCTCAGAGAATTCAACCCACCAGTAACTGTGGGGCGTAAACCATCATTTGTCAAATGACTTGCTTTTATGTGTCCTTAAATAGCTTGTGGAGGCATAAACAGACACAGGAAGGATGACATTTAGTGCTCACTAGTACACACAGAGAAAGGTACACTGCGAACCTGCAGGTTATGTGACATTTTACAAGCAATTCCACCAAATATCAAGTTTTTAAAATAGGTTTTTTAAAATTCTTAAGCTTTAATCACTGTTCTATTTACTGACATTTGTCATAGAGGAACACTAAGTGCAGGGCTTTCGCTTTGTTTGTTTTTTAGTAAGCACAATTATATCTTATGGTTACAGTCAGAGCCCTTGTATTATTTTAAAATTAGCTTCTTACGGCCCACATGCTAAATCTAGTCCACAAGAGGGTGCTGGGTGGCCCTCTGACCATTTTCTGATTCACAATAAAAATGATTTGATTCACATATTTTCACTTTCTGGGATTTTGTTTTTGTTTCTTTAAACCAATGACTACATGTTCAATGATGAGAAGATGCCTATTAGTGATCTGACCTGTGACTGGATTGGCCTCTTGGCAAGGATGAGTCGAGACAATTCAGTGAAAAATGATCAGATGAATTTGCCTTTATTTTGCTACCTCATACTAATAAACTAAACCACTGTGTTTAATTTGCAAAATGATAATTGCTTGTTATTAACCGACCATTAGCCTCCTCTCATTTTACAAAAGTGTTCCTGAGCTCCACATAACGTGATGCACTGTTACTGTACGTACCTGATGATTGTCACCTTGAAGGAAAGAGAAGAAGTTCAACTCTGAAAATCAAGTACAGGCAGAGTCAAGAGTGAATATATGTATGTTTTAATAAAAGCCAAAGGCATATTATATATATTGTATCCACACATTTCATAAAAACTAGTATTAGACCTTTATAAAAAGAAACTAAATGAAAATAAAATTCAGTTGTCATTCTCAAGGTCCGTCTACACCAAGAACTTTAACTCTAACTATAAATACTATAAATATATATTTTACTTCTTTTATTAACTTTCAGAGCAATTTGATGAACATTTTGGTATACAACTTATAACATGCTTTTAGGCTGTAAATCACAAATAGAAAAACATCATTTTACCTGAGCCTAACTGTCAAACTGTCTTTAGTGCTTATAGGGTCTCTGAAGTCCGAACTGATTTCCTCTTTTTTTTTTTTAACCACAGTATGAATAAAAGTTTGTCGTCAGAAGATGACAACTCTCGTTGTTTCTCCCAACTCATCTTGTCTTTGAGGAACTTTGTGAATCCAGATACTTTTCTATTTGTTTCTATGTGCAACGTACAGCAGTAACAGCTCATCAATATACATTTTCCTATTAACTGTTTACACAACATTATCATTCATCAGTGTTGATGCTCATCATTATCGTTATTGTTCTTGGTGTGGACGGCCCTTAAGACAGCCATTTTATATATATATCAATTCTGCCTGACACAGTATTTTAAGTTAAGATAAGATAAAATGTTCCATTAATTATTGGGGAAATTAAAAAAAAAAAAAAAAAGTATATGTTCAGTACTATTTGAAATAAAGTTAGGAGAGTTTGACTACCATCAGTTTAAAAATGGAATCTAAAATTAAATACAGTTCTGTTTAAATACATGTGTTATATGTCACTTGTAATCTGTTGTTTTTAAGCAGTGAACTCACTCCCATGAATATTTCCAACTCTTCTCGCGTCTGTGTGTTTGTCATTACCTGACAGATCGTTGGGGGTGTGGTAGTAGGGTCTATAGTCCTGGATAAGTGGGGGGACAGGAGGGATGTAGCTGGTGTCCACGGCTGGCATGCTGGGAGTACGGCTCACAGGAGAGGCCTGGTGGTGTAGGTTCAACACTCTGAAGGCAGATACAGAGGAAGAGGTTTAGATATGAAGAAGTAAAAGAGGCCAGTTTATTTATAATTACTGCAGGCGTTTATTTCATGTCATATTCATCGGGGTAAGGCACACGGCGTACTGTCGCCTCTGCTGACCCCGAAACAAAAACCTCTGAACAAAAACAGCCAAAGGATTCATTAAAGTCAAACGAAGCGGCAGTTTCTACCCATAATGAATTTTAATTTGACAGAAAATGTAGCTGTTAAATGTTTCAGTGAGTTCGATTCAAATCTTTTGTAGAAAGTGCAAGGCTCTGCTGGTTACAGAAATGTTTCTCTCCACTTTGTATTCCCTTTTCAGTCTTTTCTTTCAACAATATCCTCATCTTCGCGGATCGTGTCATAAGCATGGATTATGCTAGAACACCTGTTTCAATTATTTCAGAAATCATGTTTTATCCGTCATGTTGCCATGAAGAACAGCTCTAAATACTATGATACCCATTAGCCTCAGCTGCCTTTGCCATGGAGAAGAATAAAGTCAGAGGCACAAATCAGAGGAGTAGCAAATTTAAAACACTTTCTTAACAAAATGTGGTGCCTTAGCTGCAGAATTCAACCAAAGTTCACAAAACACCAAGATTAAAAGTTAACTAATTTAAGCTACAGATTAAAAGTTTTCTCAAAAGCACAATCTTTGGCTTCCATCAACGGCGCACGTGACAGAATTGTGACTGTAAAGGTGATTGGATCTGGAGTCATAGTTAACTTCCACAAAGTTTTTATTCAAACAAGCTCGTACCTTCGACTTTTTAGAAGAACTCCAACTGTGAGTCACATTTTCTTTGACAAAATTAAAGGTCCAGTGTGTAAGGTTAAGTGGCATCTAGTGGTGTCATTGCAGATTGCAACTCCCTGCCTTCACCCTCCCCTTCCAAGCACAAAGGAGAATCTATGGTGGTTCGAAACGACTCCATACAAGAGGACCCGTTCCCTCTATAAAACGCTCATTCTAAGGCAACAAAGATTCTTACTTTCCGGTGATTATACACTAATAAAAACATACCTACGAATATTATATTAAATTTTTGCCAATGGATCCTCCTAAATGTTACACACTGGACCTTTAACTGAAAGTAAACCAACCAACCTATTACTAGATCAATACATCAGTTTTAACTAAAGGAGTGATGACACAAAGCTTTCTCTCAGCACTCTGAGCTACCTACTGTGCTGATGAGAAATGGTAAAAGAAACTTGTGAGTTCAAGTGCAAAATTTCATCAGTCATTTAACATCTAGAAACTTAACTACCTGTGTGAGAAGCTAAACTGAGCCTCATTACCACATTTAATGAAACACAAACTGCGTGCGGAGATAAAATCACAGTGTGGAATGTGTGTCTGACCCTTTGTTGATGACAGGCGGCGAGGTCGGGGACATAGAGGGACACGCTCTTTTAGGTGGAGGAGGCAGTGGTGGCGCCGGCGGAGGCGAATCTTGTCCTTCGTCCTCTGAGGAGCTGTCCAGTGTCAAGTCGATCACCTCCACTTTCTTGCTGTTGCTGCTGTCGCCGTGGCTGGACGACGAGGAGCTCCGCTGGTCTGAACCTGCAGACGTCCGACATGAACCTGGAGAGCAGCAGGAACGTATTAGTTTGTGTTTGTGTGGTCGTTTTTATGGTTTTCTGAGACAGCAAAGTAAAAAAAAAACATGCTGTGAGTGAACTAAGATGCACACATACACATTCCCCCTGCCCTCATGTGAAATACAGTATGTTTGTTACTATGGAGACAGGCAGTTTATTCAGTGCCATTGAGATTGATGTCTTACCACATTAAAACTGACAATGCATAAACAGAGAGGGGAGGGGATCTCTCTTTTCTTACCCCGTCTCTTTAATCCTAATTTAATTACTTCCAGTCTTCTCTCACTGCCTTCATGTAGAAGCAACCTTTTTTACCCCAACCCCATCCCCCATTCATCCCTCATGTCTCACCATCCAGCCCGTTGTTATAAGAGGCAGAGGAGACCTCCTGCACTTCCTTCTTAGACCTCATCGGGGCCCAGCTGCCATCCTCCTTGAACTGGATCTCGTCACAGTCCATGCAGCTGTTGAGGATCTCCACGAAAAGCCTGAGAACAAACATAAACGTCATGCACAAACCCAGTCCAAGAAAAAGTACACAAACACACACCAGAAATCGGTAGTTTCTAAACAAAGGTTTAATGGAAAAGACCCTCCACTTTAAATGAATTAAAGACAAGAAATCTACTCTAAACAGGCTAACATCAACACTGTGCTGTAAAGGTCGGTCTACTCAGAACACTTTACTGAGTTTAAGGAATACTCATTGAAATCATCAAATTAATCTTTTAATGTTATTACAAGGTAGGTTTATGAACATTTTGGACACATTTTTAAGTGACCCACAGTTTCTACTGTGAATTCAAGTTCACTATAGCTGCTGTCCTCCCCAAAGAAGCAAGCTATTCAGAGCCACCTTCAATCCTACAGGATGCTCATGAATTAGATTTACAGTCCTTTAAAATGCTACATATGATGATTTGAAATGAGTGTATATAAGTCACAATGTATCAGACAGGTTTAGTATTTTCTTACAAAACACAAAATGTTTAAAAGTGAAAGACAGTGGTCAGTTTAGATCAGTGGTTCCCAACCTTTTTCTTAACGACTCCCTTTTCTATCACTGCGTAAACTGATGAGCCCTGATAAAGTGACATATTTTCATATGTCAATAACAGTACTGATTAGAATAACAAATAAACTGTACAATGAACCCAGATAGTATAGTAGTAATAACTGCGGGACAAGTCAAATTTTCTGTAAATATTACAGCAGAGAGGAGTTTACTTTATATTTATGTACTTTTAACTACTTAACATTTTAACAATCATACAGACTTAACAGGCTTTTTTTTGTTGTTGACAAATTCAGTGTTTTATTCTCATTGTTCTATTTGCTCTTTGGTTATTTTAGGTTTTCTAATGCAGGCTGCTCATAAGAGAGTGAAGGCTCTGTGAATATAGTTTGTTTTCAAGTTTGGATCTTAAATCATAATCTAAACCTTAAAAAACCTTCAAATAACAATTTCATTTCATTTTCTTCACAGAAATGAAGTATGTTTTACACCCCTTAGAATCAAGAAGGCTTTGGCGACCCCTAGTGGGGGTACCGGCCCTCACTTTGGGAACCACTGGTTTAGATCATGAAGTATAACAGCTGTAAAACTGTAAAAACTGCAGACAAAGAAGACTGTGGAAGACTGCAACATGTAACAAGTAGAAATTGTTTTCCAGGGTCAAGAATTAAGTTTTATGCTCAACAGCTATTCCTCCATCTCTGGTTGCTCAACAAAGTTAAAGGTATAGTTTGATATTTTGAGAAATAAGCTCATTTGCTTTCTTACCACAAGTTAGATGTCTGTGAATATGAAGCTACAGCCATCCGCTGGTTAGCTTAGCTTAGCATAAAGCCTGGATACAGGGAGAAACAGCTAGCCTAGCTCTGTTCTAAGGTAACAAAATCCACCTACCAGCACCTCTTATAGCTCAATAACGAACACTTTATATAAAAAAAAAATTATTTATGGTGTTTTTGGATTTAATGTTTTGAGATTTAGTTTGAACATTCAGTTTTAACACAATTTCCTGGCAGGTCGTAAAATGGGGAGACGGGGAGTTGGGGGACTTACCCGTCGATGATGAGGTGCTCATAGGGAGCCTTCTTGTCACAGACAGGACACACCCAGGTGGGCTTCTTCTCATTCATCTGGATATAGAGCGTGGCGTCAAAGCACTGCAGGTGGGAGCATGTCAGCGCCCGGCATGGGATCATCAGCCGCATCTTCCCCAGCTGCACAGTGTGCACACACACGTAGAGTAAGGGCGGTATACGGGACGCAAAAATATTACAAACATGCCAAACCCACATGAAAAACACACATGATAGGGGTTGAGAAGACAATTTGACAGGTGGATTGTGTACACAACCTGAAGTTAAGGGCATATGGACATGTTCTAACTCATACAAAGATAAGACATGACTGAATCTCTAAACACTGCGTAAAATACATGAAGAACGTGAAGCATGTTTACCGGGCATAGCAGTGACACTCGAAGGCTGGTCGTGGCTATTTCACTGTCTGGGTCCGCTGTTAGCTTCTCTTTGACTGCAGAAGAGAAGTTAAACACACACACACACACACACACACACACAAGTGAGAACCAAAGAGAATGACTTATTGTTACAACCATGTTCAGTTTCCCATTTCAGACTCTTTTCTTACTCATATTCAAGAGCTGTTCAAGTGGTGAGGGGCAAGGTTATTATAGTCAACTAAAACTAAACTAAAAACTAAAATTAGGTGTTAAAAACATTTTAGTTAACTGAAATAAAAATTTGAATCTAGAAAAAAAACTAAATTAACTAAAATAAAATAAAAAATACAAGCATGAGGAGGTATTGGTGCATGCTGTTTATTGAGCCTTGAATATCTACATGACTGTGAGTCAATGTATTTGTATTGTAATACCAATTCTGAACGTCTTACATCTTGCCCCTGACAAATAACCCTTATTATAATAAAAAGAAACTAACTACTAAACTACGAAACTAATACAGTTTCTGGTGTGGGGCTGAGCCCTTTGTGTCTGAATCTTCTTAAATCACTTCCCAGAACAGTATAAAAATATTTACAGATAGATATATACAATTGTGTGACTCATACAGAATTACTTCCTCATCTGGAATTGGAAACAATTGGGCAATCTGAATGGGGGGACATTTTTTTAATCAAGAAAGTACAATAGGTGTGTGTTGGGAAACTAAAGCAGGACTTCCCTGCTTATAATAGAGTTTCAAATCTTGCTACACACAAGTATACCAGAATATGTTATTAAATTTCTCACTAAGATAAGAAGTTATGGAGTAAAAAACTCATCTCACCACCAGTTTCTTCAATTTTGCTCATCAAACAAACAAGATATCACATCCAATATACACTTATATATTAGAAAAAGAAGTCAAATCATGAAACTTACACGCATATTTTACAACACTATCCTTATAAAACCATATGTTGGCCAGCTAATATCTGAGTTGGACTCAAATAAAAACACTATCCTTATAAAGTTCTCTTCATAGCCAAACAAATCCCTCAACTCAGGCCATCATAATAATCCAACAACGCTCTTGTTTCTTCTCAAATTGAAAATCAGTGTGTGAAATTCATTGATTGGATAATTTTTATTTGAGTTAACATGGAGCCAGAGATTGTTCTGGTCCTAGTTAGTGGCCTGTCATGACTCAAAACAAATGAAGTTAAATGTGGATCAGTCATCAGCTTAATAAGGTCAACATTTGTCCTGATACCAATCCAGCATATCGGATCTCTCACGGTCCTTACTGAGTGCTCTGGAGTGGTCTGGGTTTCTGATGCCTTTTGCCCGTAGTCTCTGTAACAGCACTGTGGACGACTGCTGCTTTACCAAGTACACTGCCATGGAGTAACTCTGTGGACACACACACACAAATGGATACGATGTAATAATTTGCAAAGTGGTACTTTAAATTCAATATAGAGACATTGTTTTTCCTACCAGAGACAGAGTTCTGGGCACTTACAGAAAATGTCCTTGAACTCAAGTTAACTTCAGAAAAAAAGATGTTTTCTAACATGAAGTCGATCCTACTGCTCTGAGACAAACGTATCATCAGCCATGTGTAAGGAAGAATGGGGAAAAGGAAGAACTTGTGCACTGTACTCTGACGTTTAAGGCCAGTTTATACTTGAGATAGTTAATATACTGCCCTCTACTGTCTGTCTGCAGAACAGCAAGCTCCACCCAACTCAGTAAAGGACAACATATGCAAAGATACAAGGTATTTAATTGTCATTTTACAATGCAGGGCTGCATAATGAAATTCAGGGCGTAGTTCCCTTTATGTTACACGCATATTTATAAGAATTATAAACAGTACAAATTATAAATAAGTCATTAAAAAATTCTTTTACATAATGGAGTGCTGAGGATGAATTAAACAGCCCCACAGCCTGAGATAATAGACTATTTTCGGTCAAATTCACAGATTTGGTTAAAAATGTTTAATAAAAAGGGGATTTTGTCAATATCTGCACCATCGGCCTTCACTCAGCATGCATTCTGACCATACAAGGTAATATATGTGGGCCTTCCCAGAAGTCGTGGTTTTACTCTTCCTCACTTTGCTACTTATTAAATGCTCATGTGTAAGATTTGTGGCTCTGAGAACTCAACACCAGTGGCCAGAAATCCCACTTCCTGCTTTTAAAAAACTGCTTCTCACGCACATGCATGTGGTGAACACACACGCAACCATTTTATCACACAAGTACTGTAGGCAAGAAGGCTCAATGCTGAATTTAAAGCTACTGTGTATAATGGAAGTCTTCTTTAAGTCTTCTGTTCTGTCACATTTTCAGAACATTTCCCTGTTGCGGTGTCTGTCTCATCCACGTGAATACAATAACCTCAAGAACATGATAATTCTCCATACGCAGCGCCCGATCCAATCAGATTTTGAAACTTGTTGCATAAATCGGCATAATAACCAGGATTAAAAAAAAAAAAAACATTTCCAAGAACTCTGCAAGTACTTCTTTAAGACGAAGAGTTTGTATTTAAATTAACCATGGATTATATAAAGGTGAGTATGTGCAGACAGAAATGTAAAAAAGTACAAAAAAAAAAGCCCATTATAAGTCACCAAACCCCAAAGTGACATCTGACTTTATTTATTCGGTCTCTATAAAAAGGACAAGGAACAGAAAAAAGCAAGCAAATCTTTAGATTTTACATTTGCTGATAAAAAGCAAATAATATTACTTGATAATTGACTTAATCGCTTATCAAAGCTGTCACCGATTATTAGAGTTGTTCCAAAACCAAAATCCCTCCAATGCTTTCTAAATCATTGGGTACGCACCGATCCGATACCATGTATTTTATTAGCTTTGAAACAGAACCCTGCTTCTTCCTAGCAGTGTCTGGTTCACCATTTTCACCATTTCTCTGAGTCTGACAATGGGTTTAACCTCAGCCAGGCCACACAACAATGATAGCAATCATACAGGCTATATATATGTGTTCAGAGAAAAAAATGGTATCAGGATTATCAAAATTGGCAGTTTAAGAGTCTCTTGTTAGAGACTGTGGTCCTTACCCGTCCGATCTCAGCGGTCCACGACACCACAATGGTATTGGGGACTGTGGTGGACAATCTGACCAGTGAGGTAATGTTGATGGGCCGGCTGGGCCTCTTGGGCTCTACGCCGTTTTTGGTTGGAGGAAGATAACCCTAGATGAAAGACATGAATATTAGAAAGAAAAAGGAGACAAAATTGGCCCTTTTGTTGTGAATATTATGAAGTTAAATTCTAATACTCAACAAGAAAATGTCTTTTACACTAACACGAGGGACAAGGCAAAGAAGGTGAAATAAAAAAGCCTGTTGCTCTTCAGATGTGAGTGTCAGAACAGAGATGTTTTGCAGGTTGTTATGTGGTTAAATCAGAGCTCTTTACCGGAAGGTTACATGGCTTCCCGTTGACTTTCACACACAGATTGGGTGGAAAATGGTCTTCCTGAGGACAGCTCGTCTCCGACAGGCAAAACCGCAACTGAACTTGAACTGAGAAGTCACATTTGGTCCCCGAGATGTCCCTTTGAGCACAGAAACAAATTCATCACCACACATCTGTAGAGAACATGTACGTTTATGAATTATTTATCAGCATCTTGCAGTGACAGAGTGGTGTTCATCTTACATGGAGCTGCTGATCTGCTGGACTTGCTGTGGCGTTAATGCAAAGGCGAAACACGTCTCCTGAAATCGCTGGCTGTTGTCTGATGCTGCAGAGACAGAGACAGACAGAAAGGAGAGACACTTAACAACCACGTTGTAACATACACTGAGTTTTTAAACACATTGTTGGCCAATTATAAAAAATATCAGTGACCCCAAGACAGTGAGATAAGGAAGACCAAACCTTTGCAAATAAGACCAATCAGTAAATCACTGTTTTAATCTACAGATGAAGGAAAAACTAAGAAAAAAGGTGAAGAACTGTGTGCACAGCAATGTATCAGTGGGTGTCTCCTGCATACACAGCATTATTGGGTAAACCTTGTAAGCATGAAATTAGCAAATGCTGAAGAACACCTGGATGTCAAAACCAGACCATCTCACACAGAGGTGAAGGAGAAGAAAATGTGTGTGTGTGTGTGTGTGTGTGTGCTCTATTTATAGGCCCACTGAGAGGTGCTGGAAATAACTGGTGCTACTAACCTAGCCTTCATTAAAGAGACAGCAGGATTGCAAAGGCAAGAAAAGTTTTTGTGTCTATGTTAGAAGGAGGTTAACGTGAAACAAGGAGCTGTAAGGGCTTTAACCTGTGTTTGGTATTTGTACTTACAGGAATACTGCAACACTTTGGGAAATATACTTATTCAATTTCTTTCTGAGAGTTCGATGAAAAGGTCGATACCACTCTCATGTAAGTGTTCAGTATGAAGCTAGAGGTGGGAGTCCATTAGTTCAGCTTAGCATAGAGACTGGAATCAAAGGGAAACAGCTAGCCTGGGTCTGTCCAAATGAAATAAAACATACACATTAGAACTGCTAAAAATCACTTATTAACATGCATCTTTGCAGGTTTGCAATTAATTTGTAGTTTAAGGTTGAGTTACATGGTGGAACTATTTAGCAGTTTATTCATTTTATTCTTTTTTGGTCAATAACGAACCTCTAAAAAAATCAACAGGTCTTTATCAGCTCATACAGTATTAATGGTTTCAGTTTTCTCTCATTTTAGCAAGATAGTAGGCATAATAAGGAGGTAAAGACTGCACATGGAGTCTCACTTTATTGACAAATTTGTGCCTATTTATTCACTAACAATAATGTGTGTGACAAACAAACTCTTCTGGAAATCTTTATTACAAGAGTGCTCCATACACCAGTGGCTAAGTGTTACAGACCAGTGTAACCAGTGTAAAAACACTGGAGTGCTCCCTTTGTGTGTGCATGCCAGATTCTGTGAAACATAATTGCTGAATCTCAGTGGGAATCTTTTGGCCTGAAGGCTGTGTAAGTGAGGGGGGAAGATGAGTTACAGAATTACCTATCATGAATCATGATTGTTGCTTTAATTACTTAAAATAATGTTGAACTGTCAGTGAGTGACAGCTTCAAACACATGCAGAGAATCTGACACACACACACACACTCAGCAGGATGAAGTACATGGAGGTAATTTCTTTCCATGTAGGGCGTTGAGGGGGACAAAGTCTACAGCTCCTGTGGATGATTACTGGACCAATCATGTTTCTCCTCTCATCAGCCTTTCAAACAGCCATTAATTTTCTCAGTAATGAGCCATCTTACCACCCACATGGTATATAATTTGTATGACATATATTTATTGTATGTTTCCGTTTTTGCATCTTTTGAGCGGCAGCCTGTGCACTGCAGAACAAAATCATACGCACCAAGTGTGCTTTCGAACAACAGTCTTCCTCTTCTCCGAGCACACAGGCTATAAATAGAAAGTGCTCTCTCACTCTCTCTCACTCTGTCCTCTCTCTCACTCCCCCCCCATCTCTCCATCGCTCTATAACTCACTCTCTCTCTCTGGCAATGGATTTGTTTCTGGTGTTTCAATGTGTGTGGTTAGGAGAGATATGAGAAGGGTTGAAATGAGCTTTGATTGATGTCTTCCTCTCTCTCTCACTCACACACACACTTACTTTTACCCCACCACACACACACACACACACGCACACACACACACACACACACAACTCCCATAGTGGCTTTGTTTAACTCTAGTGATTTAAAGATGCTTACACAGTGTTTGACATCAACTTTAGGATGTTTTTATTTGTCTGACGCATTGTGGTACTAAAACTAAGAGACTATAATACTTGCATGGTCCTGACAGAGAAGTCTGGAGTATTGAAAAATGTCAAGTACTGAAACGTGGCTCATAGAGGGTCTAATTTAAATAATTATTCAGTCTAATTTATACTGTATTTAATTTAAGTTAAGTTCTTGTATGGCTGCTTATGTTAGAAAACATCTAAATGAATAGTTTAACATTTTGGGAAATTCACTTTTAAATATGAAACTGCAGCCAGCACCTGATTATCTTAGCTTAGCATAAAGACTGGAGAGGGGGAAACGGCTAGCCTGTCTGAAGGTAATCTGCCTACCCAGCTGCTCTAAAGCTCATTAATTAACACGTTAGATCTTGCTGGTTTAATCCTCACAAAAACTGCTATGTAAAAACGTCAGGTGGCGATTTTACAGTGGGTTTTAAATATATAATGTAGAGTTTGGGGTTTTTTGGGGGGCCCTTTCCCCTTTAAATTTTTAAACTGCTGCACAAAGCAAAACATTTTTGTTTTTACTACAATTATTATTTAAACTTTGATCATTTTATAAATGTATGCCTAATCTGAATAAACTATGCACAGTTGAGAGTTCAGGAACAAGAAGAAGTACAATGCAAATTTCTGTTCTTTAAATCCGGGGTTTACAGTACTCATCAGGATATATCAAACATCAATCAGCTGAGACAGAAACTCAATAGTTGAGGAATTGAGTCATTATGAAGAATGAAGTTAACTACATCACATACAGAATGTAATTTCAATAAATGAAGTCTCTATTTAACTTCACTGACAGAGGACACAAAATTAATGACGCTATGAGCAGAATTGTAATTACTGTTATTAAGCACATTTCTGCCACTGCATGTAATCTTATTTCTGCTTAGTGGTGCTTATTAGAATATGAACATTAATAAATCAATGGGACATTAATTTTGAGGGTAATTACAATAAACAAATAAGAGCTTCTATCAGTGCAAATCTCCAGGAGGAGTTTGCTGTGACTAAAGACTTCACTCTGTGGTTTAAGGTGCAGTCATCAGAGGAGAAGAGAACGGTTCAGGTGACTTTTTGTGAGCGGATATTACAGAGCTCATGGAAAAGCTTCTTTCCAAGTTGTCTTGAAGAAAATAGACTTGAAGTTTAAATAATCACATGGTCCTTTGTAGTTTGTAATGGACCGTGTGCTTGACGTCAAGCTTTAAAATCAGTCCGACTGTTATGAAACCATGCCTTAACAGCCAGGAATTATGTTTAACGTGTTCTCAAGGAGCAATGAGCGCATACAGAGAGAGAGAGAGCCGTGGTGAAGCGACTGTATAGCACACTCTCGGTCCTTTGTGGTACACAGTTCGAGACCTCTGCCGTACCAGCCGCTATGCTTGACATTGTTTTATAATGTGAAATGTATGTGTTGGAAAGACAGATGGTGGGAAGAGTGACAGATGAGAAACTGACCTTCAATGGGTTGCTGTTTACAGTGAAGAGGAAATAAACCAAGGAGACCTAAAACATACAGTCAGTTGGCATTTTTATTAGCTATGGTATATAAAACTATACTGAGAGGTACTTCTAATATTTATAAAGCTGTTTTAGACTGAATACTACAACCTTTATGATATGAAGGTAGGATTTATTTCTGTTAGACTGGTAAGTTTTAGCTAAACTGGCCACTGAGTATACATTAGTGCGGGACAATTTACCAGATGAACCAGTGTACCGATTTAAATTCCTTTTATGATATTAATTTTTCATATATTTGAGAAAGATCACTTTAAATAATTAAATACTTTGAGTATTTAATTATTTCAATTATTTCAATAGTCAGTTTATCAGAAGTCACAACAAATATTGCAAATTCAACCAATCCCTGTGAATTCTGCGTGACTTTGCAATTTCGTCCCGCCTCTACAACTTTTCTGCAAATACCGCCATTATGTAGTTTCCAGAGAGTTTCACCAATCATAGCAGTACCCGTACCTCAACCAAAGCAATTTGGTCACATGGGGAGGAAGGTGACTAAACAGTTGTCATTTACATTTTGAGGTCTAATTAAAAGAGAAAAAGCCCTGTGAGATAAAATAGAGACTTTGCACTTTTTTTGCTCAAGTTTAAATTAGATTAATATCACAGTTTGGTCACGTCATATCTAAAAGCACTTGTTACATTACAGAGAAATATTTCTCTGAAACCCAACTATGAAATGTATTATCAATTCAATTCAATTCAA